CTCACCCTGGATCGGGAGAGCGGAGGAGGAGAGGAGGAAAGGCTGAGGGAGCTGGGCTTGTTTAGCCTGAAGAAGAGAGGACAGAGGGGAATCTCATAAATACTTACAAATATCTTCAGGGTGGATGTCACGAGGAGAGAGCCAGACTCTTCTCAGCGGTGCCCAGCGACAGGACAAGGGGCAATGGGCACAAACTGAAGTGTAAGAGGTTCCAGTTGAACATGAGGAAGAACTTCTTTACTTTGAGGGTGACAGAGCACTGGAACAGGTTGCCTGGGGGGGCTGTGGAGTCTCCTTCTCTGGAGATACTCAAAGCCCGCCTGGACGATGTCCTGTGCAACATGCTCTAGGTGAACCTGCTTTAGCAGGTAGATGATCTCCTGAGGTCCCTTCCAACCCCTGCCATTCCGTCGTTACGTGATTCTGTGAGTTCTCCTTGTTCGGCTGCTGAGACATGGCATGAGAATTTCTCCCAGGGAGATGCATGGTTTGCTCCAGAAATTGCGTTTACCCAGAGGGGCGAGGGACAGAAGTCAAGACTAACTTATTTTTCCTCCTCTGTTCTTTAGTGATCCCTTATAGGTCAGTGATAATTCCCATCAAAAAACTAAGCAATGCGATAACCACATCAAACCCGTGGATTTGCGTATCAGGAGAACTAGGAGATACAGGCGTAATGCAGATTCCTAAAAACCACCTGGAAATGACATTTGAGGTGAGTACATGCTCTTTACATCTTACTTTTCAATTTGAAACATGCTTCCAAATAAAAATTGATTCAGTCAAGGTTTGTTTGTCTTAAGATCACCACATCTCAGATTCCAGCCATGTTTTCAAGGTCACTGTACATTCAAGTATGTACAGGCAAATAGTGCTGCCAGCCCTTCCTGTACTAGGTGAAGGTTTCCTGTGAGCCATGTACCACTTTTAACCACGGGCTTCACTGCTGGCCCTGTCCCAGCCCGGGGCTCCTCTTTTCCCACGAAGCCAATCTATTTCCACATCTCGTTCCCTTCCACTTCTCCTTGTCCGCTATCCTAATTTTCTGTTTCAGGTCTCCTTTCTGACTCCTCATTTCCCTTCCTGGTTTCTTTTCCCTTCTTTCAGTTTGTCTTCCCACTTACAACCACCCAGGTCCCAAATTTCTTCTCTTTCTCCCAGCCAGTCCCAAATTTCTTCTCCTCCAGCTCCTTGTCCAGCGTTGCTTTCCTTCCAACTAGCCAGTCTAACTCCTGTGCTCTTCAACTTCCCAGCTTCATGCACTACCCCGGCACACTGCAGAGCCACCATCCCCATTGGGCTCTTTTCTCCATGCTTGCTGTGGTTTTCTCTCTGCATTTGGCTACCCGGCGTTCCCCTCTGCTTTCCCACCCATCAATTACAGGTTGGCTTGGTGCCACCCCAAAGCAGCTGGTAGCGGGAATCAAAGGGAAAGCCCCGTCAGGCTCCCGTAGCTCCAGGCTGTACCATATCCAGTAAGGAGTGATTTCGTAGGAAAATCTGCTACTACAATGAAAGTTGCATCCATTGAGCATATGCAGACTGATCTTCAACAGCAATGGTAAAAAAAAAAAAGAAAGCCTCTTGCCAAATATAGGTAGATTTTGACAGAGGCGGAGAGGATATTTTCATGATATGATGGCTGCCTCTCACTCAGATACTAGTATTTTGTAGAAAAGATCTGCAGGCTTCTAACAAGCAAAATAACATTCAGGCATTTCTAAGGACCATACTAACACTCTTCTGGGATACTCCTTTGGCTGAAGTTTTCCTAAAATACCAGCTTGGGTACCCACCCACTACAGAAAATGTCAGCCCAAGCTGCTTGTTTGGCAGTATTAGAAGCAATGAAGACCCAGGTCTTGCAAGGGAAGTGTTTAGGTGACGTTAACAGATGTTGCTGCCAGCCCCACCTACAATTACATATTGCACTGGAATTCACAGTCCCTTGTTTTCCTTGTTCTGCCTCTGTTATGTTAAGAGTCTCATGTTAGTGATTTTTGTCTTGCCCAACAATAAGCAAATCAATCTTTGAAAATAATAAAGGATCTAGGGACTGCTTCACAGTGAGTCAACTGAAGGTCAGTATGCTCAAAATGCATTTTTTAAGAGCCGTTCATACTGAAGATGTATTTCCTCTACAAAAGCACACCTTTTTATCACCTTAGCTCAGAAATTTGCAATACTTCTCAGAACTATTCAGTGAGTGCTCACAACAAAGAATGTAATCTCTTCACAAGCTTTTTAGTAGTTTTATTTCAAGGAATTTGTTTTCTCCTGTTAAATATAAGTATTATATATGTTATATATTATAATATAAATATTATATATGTAATATATATTTTTATATATGTTAATTATAATTATTATATAACTTTTCCCTGTTAAAATTCCTATTCTGCTTTTCAAAACATTCTGTGTGTTTGGTTGAAAACACTTGCTGTAAAAATCAAAGGAAACTGAATAAAAACATACATTTGATACCATATGTGTGCATGGGGGGAGGGAGAGGATGTTGTCTGTTGTTTTTTAAACTAAGTAAAAATTGTTATTCATTTCAGTGCCAGAATTTAGGGAAGCTGACGACCGTTCAGATTGGTCATGACAACTCAGGGCTACTAGCCAAGTGGCTGGTTGATTGTGTCATGGTCAGAAATGAAATAACAGGACACACGTACAAGTAAGCAACAAGTTTTAATTTTCTTTGTCTGAAATTCTGACTTGTTAAACCTAGAGAGGTCCCTTCCAGTCCTTGCCATTCTGTGATTCTGTGATTCTCTTCAGCTGATGGAGCACTGTGGGTTGATTTGGGTACCCGAGGGGGTTGGGTTGGTCTCCCCCACCCCCAGTTCTCTCATTTCAGAAGCCCTAGTTGAAGTCAAGTAATCTGATAAATATTAAATGAGACTTGAATGCAGGATTTTCTTTGCATCGCTCTGAGACAGGACAGGCAGTATGGATACTTTTGAAGTGATTCATATGTTTGTGTCTAATAATTAAATCTCCTGATTTGAAGTAGTGTGGTAAAATAGTGCACAAATGAACTCTTTAAACCCCCAAGAGCTGGGTTGATAGTTTAGGGCAAATCTTTGGTTTCTTTTTCTTCTAAAAATATTCAGGTATCTGAGTATTGGAACAAATGTACAGAAACTAGGATTACAGGAAAATAAAAGGTTTTGATGATTTCCTAATCTTCTATTGAGTGCATACCTCTTCCGTCAAAACTATCTGCTAACTCATTGTTGGTTTTACAAAACATCTGGCTAAGCAGACTTAATTTTTTTTCTAAATGTGGATTTGGAAAATTATAATTCAGAGAGGTGAGCTCCAGAGCTCAGGGTTGGCCACAGTGTGTAAGGGAAAGTCAGAGGAAATGGGGTATAAGCACTGGGGTATGGACATGCACATGGATGTCATTCAGACTGTGGATGGGGTCAAAAAGTACAGCAATAAAAATTGAGGTGAGGTTTGAGTGTGAGGAGACATCACAGCTTCAGCTGGGTGAGAACTCCGTGTGGGGATTTAATTGTTAATCATCACAATACTTGAAAAGGCTGAATATCAGTTGTGGTTGCAAGTGAAAAATAACATGGCAGAAGTCAAGATGTGGCCCATGTGTTTAACACTTCCTGTTGTCCTGTGCTTTCATCCAAGCTTGGCATATTTCCCTTTTCCTAAGGATGGAAGTGAATATACGTTTTCTGGTTTGGTCCTATCAGTTGTGGTGCAGGGGATGCTGCCTGCTGGTTTGTGAAAAGTTTCTGGCTACAGAGTGTTCCCTGCCCGTTAGCAGTGTTTATGGATTGTAGCTGTCCCTCTCACTTGGAGATCAAGCTAGACTACGTGTGTGGCTGACCTGTGCTTGTGCTGGCTGCATGGCAGGTTTCCCTGCGGGCGATGGCTGGGAAAGGGCGTTGACGATGGCAGTTTGGAGCGAATACTCATTGGAGAGCTGGTGTCCTCCACGTCTGATGAAGAGCTGGGAAAGCAGTGCCGTACCCCACCCCAGCAGAAATCTCCTACCACGGCTCGGCGACTGAGCATCACTTCCCTCACAGGGAAGAACACCAGTAAGTCCTTTCCTTTCTCCCCAGGGCTCTAGAGAAGGGGGCAGCAACCGCTGAGAAATAAAGCTCCTGTGAACAGGAAAGCTCCTACTGAAGCAAGGCTTAGTGCAGAGGAACAGCTGCAAGCTGATGAGTTTTTCCTGGCCTGGTTTGTGTGTCTGCAGCTTGCTCTGTGACTGTACACATTGCCTCTTTCAGTGTCCCCATTTGACAGTTGAGAGATAATAATCTCTTCCTTTGGAGAGTGGAGATATGAGGTGAAGGAGGAGGAGGCAGCAGAATTTGCAGTAGCTGATGCTGCTCAGCTTCCCAGGTCACTTTGCAGTTGGTGGGGAGACAGTCCTCGCTGAAGGGCAGTTCAGAGCTTGATATGGATGCTGTGAACTGCTTTCTGGAGGAGCACGTCTCCAGAGGCAGCCTAGGACATATCAACTTCCATGTCCCTAAAGTGAGCTTTTATGAGTAACTGCCCCTGGCTACAATGGGCCATGGGACTGTAAGGGCCACATGAGGCATTCTCCACTAAAGCATAGAGATGAGCACAGCATAGATCCTGTTCATAAATCTCTCCAGCTCCTGTAAAATTAGAGGACATGACTGCTGGAATGTCAAGCAAGGAAAGATTAGCATCCAAGAGTAATGCAGCATTTAAAAACCATCATGGGACCACTGCAGCTCTTCACATGTGTGAGTCCATATTAGCTGGAGGAGCAGGCACCAGAGCTACTTACAGAGCATTTCCTTAGGTCTGAGAACACGAAGGTCCAATAATTAGTTTGTCTCATGAGCTACATGAGACTCTGTGGTAGACCTGCAAAGGCTGTGGAGGTCATTGTGTACTAAAATGATACTGAATTACTCCATGCTTCCAAAATAACAATTGTAGGACAAGCTGATAGCCACCTACGTATGTCTGAAAAACTAGAAAGGATTCATAGAAGAACCACGAAAATGATTGAAGTCTGGAAAACATCTGCTTATAATGAAGTTTTAAAAGTTCAGTCTGTTTTAATCAGAAAGTGAATGAGGGACTAGATAATCTTCTGAGGGTACCTGCACAGGAAGATGAGATGGTAGCAGGTGAAGACATAGCGTGATTCAGCAGCAGAGGCATATGGCTTAACAAACTCAGAGCAGAAACGTGGCATACATTTTAATGCAGAAAATAACTTACTCTTGGAACCATTCATGAGGAATATTCTTTGCTTGTGGCCCCTCACACTGGTACAATGACTAGACATGTGCCTAAAATAGATACTTGTTTTGGCTCAATAAAATATTGTGGGCTCAAGTCAGGAATTAATGAATGCTGGGGTTTCTGGCCTCTGTCACGTAGAAGTGAGTCAAATGACTGGGCTACAACCTTTCAGCCCATGTCTCTTCGTGTGAGGGTTGCTGTACTCTATGTGATGAGCAAGATATGATTAACTTAAAATATTTATCGAGGCAGATCCTTGGGTTGTGCATTTTTAAGTAGGGTGATTTATTTGACTATTCCAGGGTTGCTCATCAGTTGCTTGTAATTAAGGCTCAGGTTTGCCCAAGACAAATGATTGCTCTGTTAAAGATAAAGAATCCCTGAAGATACAGAATACTCTGTTAAAGATACAGAATAATTCCTACAGTTCAAGCTATGTCATCATGAGAATTTGAAGAATGTTTTAAAGTTGGTATCTTCAGCTAGTATGCTCTCCATCGTTTCACAGAGCCTAACGCGGGACAGATCCAAGAAGGAATCGGGGAAGCTGTGAACAATATTGTGAAACACTTTCACAAGCCTGAGAAAGAGGTACTTCCTACTTCTCATTACTTGCCTCGTATCTACAATGCATGTAAATATTTTTATAAACAGAAATGGAACTGAAGTACTAGTAGAGACTGTTAACCTTTAGATTTGAAGCTTCTGGCATACAAACAAGGCAAGTTCCACTTACAGACTCTCCCTTTCCACAGAGAGGGAGCCTTACCATTCTGTTGTGTGGAGAAAACGGTCTGGTCGCAGCCCTGGAGCAGGTCTTCCACCATGGATTCAAATCAGCTCGCATTTTTCATAAGAATGTCTTCATCTGGGATTTCATAGGTAAGCTGGTATGTGATTTGGAGGCAGGAGAAAGATTAGGGCAAAATGACTACTCATGCACAGACCTCGGATTCTCATCAGCTGGGGTGCCGTTTCTTCCTGCCTAGCACCTGCTCCAGGTTGCTTGAAGTCAACGAGAAACGAGATGGGAGATGAGAAATACTGAACTCTGTGTAAGGAATGGGTGTGAATCTGTGCAGAAATTTAAGAGCACTTCAAATTCTAGTAATTTATTCATAGGTGAATGTTCAAACAGCTGCTTTTCTACCCAGAAAGAAGGTAGGCTGGAGGTTGCGGTAGAGTAGCAATCGATGTTAGGGGGAGAGTTGGGGAAGGACAGGGAGTGAAAGGTTTAGATTTCTAATTGTTTATGAGAGCTCTCCTAATCACTGCACTGGTCTTCTGATGGCGCTTATCTGTGGGCCTGTGTTGCGGTAGTTTAAGATGTACTTATTCTCTTAAAACATGCTCGAAAGTTGAGATACTTAGCCTGAGGGTAAGCACTTACCCAGGAAAGGTGAAAAATCAAAGCTGATGGTATCACTTACAATGAAACCATTGCTCTGGTGCGGCTCCTTGGTATTACCTAGCTGTATTAGATATCAACCAGTCTGCTGACAGCTGCTATATAGCAAAGGTGGAGATCACCACCTGCCTACGGTCTTCAGAGTGAGGAACCCACATCTAAATAGTGCAGTAGCTCTCAGCAGGTTGGTTTTTTAAGGATTCCCTCGTGTAGTTCTGTGTCAGAATGAAGTACTTCTGCTTACTGGGTTCTGGTTTTCTCCCTACCACAGAGAAAGCTGTTGCTTATTTTGAAACCAGTGACCAGATTGGAGACAACGAGGAGGCCCTTTTGCTTCAGAGATCTTCATGCAAAACCTTCTGTCATTATGTGAATGCCATCAATACAGCTCCAAGGAACATTGGAAAGGACGGCAAATTCCAAATTCTGGTTTGCCTGGGGACAAGGTACCTAACTGCTCTTTGTTACGTGTGTCCTTTTGTGTTAGGCTAGAAGAATATTTTTACGCTGTTGTTATCACCTTTAGTTTTCCATTTTAAGACATCTCATACCTATCTATTATCCAGTACCTATTTTAGGCAGCTTTAATATTGCATGGAAAATTGGAGCAAAGAAGCAGTACTGATATGTGACTAGTGTCTAAACTGCTAAAAATGTTTTGAGCTCTTTTATAACTGTTAGCTTGACAGTCATATGTATGAAATCTGTCCTGAAATTGTATTTTTGATGAAGTACTGGCTTTGGGACTGCAGAGTTCCTTTGCAAGAGCTGGCGCATTTCTAAGTCCTCACTGAATCACTTTGCCTATGAAAATGGGATGTCTGTTTTAATTTTGACAAAACTATTCCAACTGAATCTTTCTTGTCTAATAGGATGCTTTCTGTCTTGCACTTGGGGTGGGGCCAGCAGGGGTGGGGCTTAGTTGTATTTTGGAAGGTGGAAGTTGGCATGTCTAGAAATAAGTACCATTTTTGTCTTGTCTGTCTGGATACATGGAAAACCGGTTAGAAAACAGTCTATTGTTTTTTCCTGCATTTTACTTTCCCTGTTCCTAATCTGAAAATGCTGCTGAATTCTTCCAGAGTCAGTTGTCCAATTCTGCTGATATCTCTTCATCTTCATTCCTACAGTATGTTCAGTTACCTGTATTTTGCTAGCAAAATCAAGGGTTATGATTGCACAGGAAACAACATGCATCACCCGCAAAAAGAGACTGTTGCATGTTTTGGGTTGTGCTCTTGGAGAAGAATTTCTGTTTGAGATCTGTAGTACTTGGTGCTAAAATAATGCCTCTCATCGCCTTTGCAGGGACCACTTGCTCTCTCAGTGGATCCCGTTGCTGGCAGAGTGCCCGCCCATTACACGGATGTATGAGGAGAACGCTCTCCTACGGGACCGCATGACTGTCAACTCCCTTATCCGAGTCCTACAGACATTGCAAGATTTCAACATCATCCTAGAAGGATCGCTCATTAAAGGAGTGGATGTTTAGCATGGCTTTGCTGAGAACTTCATTATTCCTTTCCCAAGCAAGCAAACCACAATTGGAGACCTGTCAGGACTTGAACGCGATGGTAGTGCACCACTGTAAGGCAAAGCTGCCGGTTGAAGCGAGAGTGGGAAGGCCAGTCTGTGCCCGATGGGGACTGTCCTCTAAAGCTGCAGGAAGTGAAGATGCAGTATTGTAGTTTATTTGAAACATAAATTTAGTATAAAATAGAGTATTTTCATGTGTTAGATGTGTGTAAATATGCTATCTTCTTTAAGAAATTATATTACTCTAAGAAATTTTTCTTAGACTGAATGTTCTTGTTCTGACTATGAGTAGCTTAAATCCAGGGGAAGGACTGGGGGGAGGGAAGGGCCGAGGTGGGAAGGGATGCCGCTACTTGCTTGCAAGGAAGAAGCCAGTCAATGTGTAAATACAGCGCAAACTCAGCAGGGCTTTTTTCAGGTATTGCAGATTAATACAGCAAATATCCTTATGTAGCCATTGTGATCGTCTCACTCTTGGAAATGTTGTAAGCATATGCTGTTTTACCCTCCTGTACCTGACCTCTCTTAGGTTTTTTGTTTGTTCAAAGACTCAACCCTTTCCATGCACAGAAGTTGAGAGTCATCTTTTTTTTTTCTTTTTTCTGTAAGGTCTTTTGTGTCACTTCTGTTGATCCCCAAAGGGGGAGACAAGTGTTGAAATGCTTAAACACTGGAGAGGAGGACTGCTGTCAGCCTCAGAGCCTGAGAGTATGAGAGACCTGTTTAAGTGGTGCTGCTGCAGCCTGAGATTGGGAATGAAGGCTTGCTTGACTTGCTCAGTGTGTCCCTTGCCTGTCTAGATGTTCTTGATGATTCCCTCTCGCCCTCAGCCACTTTGTGTTGTAGATGACCTTCTTTTTTTCCCCATGTTGAGGAATTTGGTTCGTACCAAATTCTTGCTGTACTTGAGAAGAATCTTTGCAGTAGAGCCACAAACACGGATGTTGCTGTGCTACTGAACTGTATCAGCTGGTTTTGAAATGCTGACAGGTTATGAGTCTTCCTTTATCCCACAGAATGAGTGTTCCTAGGAAGTACAGGATCTTTGATTACTTTTGTTTTTTTCAATTATCCAGCCAAAGGAGGAGAAAAAAAGAATCTCACTTTGGTATTTTGAGGCTCCCCTCCTACACTCTTCCCAGTTAATGTATTAGTAATGCAGCGTGTATATAGAGAGCTCTTGAAGAGGAACTGGGAGCAACTGAAATCCTGTATGCTGAAACTTTAACGAGGTTACATTAAAATCACTTTGTGGATACAATGCAGCAAATACAGAGCGTGTTTTCCGTTCTTGTGGATGGGAGTTGGAAGGATCTGAGGGCATAGTTAGCTTCATCTGGTTTTAGTTTTTGGAGGTTGGTTTAAATATAGGTGTTTGTTTCCACTTGTTTATCCCCTATGATCTTGGCCATTTTGTCCGTGGATTTCTGTGGATGTCTCGCTGTCAGCTGTGGCTTGGGAAAGGCCCCTAACTGGTACTGTAAGTGTGTTGCCTTGCACTGTGCTCTCAAGTGGCATTAGGAGGGACTTGGGAATGGTGGGCAGTAGCAGATCTTGGTATAGTGTGCACGTGGTGGAGAGAGGGATGAGAACTAAGGAAAAGGAAAGAGGATGAAAATTAGGGTTTGCTTTCTCACCTGCCTTTTGTCAAGCTTCTCTACTTTCCTGTGGGCTTTCTGCTGTCCAGTTCTTATAACAGCACTCACTTTAGTGTCAAGCTTCATGCTCCCAGCCAGAAGAAAACTCTTTGTATGACTTTGTTTCATTAGAAGGGGGAGATTCATGCTATAGATTTTTTTGTTATTGTTGTTCCTAAGAAAGAAGTGAAATACCACTGTCAGGGACTCGTCGACTTTAATGAGGGTTCCAGCTTTTAATAACCGTTCTTTCCTCCTGGGCTTTGTACTTCCTTAAACTGACTAAATTCATCCCAAACACTGTAGGCAGCACTGCCATGTCACTACTGTGGGTCTGAGTAACTAACATAAAGGTTGTGAATGTTGTCATGAGTTAGTAGCCAGAGCCCATGGCTATGTGACATCTCTCTTACATTTCCAGAAATGTGAAATTAGGGGTGTTGGGGTTCTCTGTGTGGCCAGGCAAGTCTGCTTAAAGTCAGCAGAAGATGTATGACAGCCCTTCAGCAGCAATTGAAAATGCATCCCTAGTACTTAACTCTATCAATAAATTATACATTTAGCACCAGAAGCCATGTGGCAGCATTATTTGGTAATGACTGCTTAGGATGTTTTGATTTCTATTACATCTCAGGCCTTTTATGTCTAATGACTGCTATACATGATTTTTTCACGCCCAACACAGTCTAAGTGACTTTCGTTTTACTGAAATAACAACCTCTTTAGTCCTTGGATTTCTTCGCAACAGCATCTGCATTTGCTGCCTGGGTAATTCGCAGAAGTATACTGCTGCATACTTCTCCAAAGACTATTTATGACTCAAGCAGTCATAACATTCAACCAACATGACACAGGTTAAGTGCAAGCAGGATACAGTAGAAATGTGGGCACCTCTAAAGGTCAAGCATAGATGAATAAACCACACACAGAAAAAAGGGCAATAACTACATAAAGTCTTTCTTAAGTTAAAGTAAGTCAAAACCTGAGACATTTTAAAATTCAAAACAGGGCCTTCCCCCATTTCAAACTACATCAAGGAACCTTTAGCACTTAACTTCAACACAACTTCATGCCAGCTTTTTCAGCAAGTGTTGACTTGTTTGGTTTTGTCAGGTTTCACATCATATTAATAATAATACAATAAAAATTATGTATGTCTAATATTTCATTGTAGGCAATAAAATACCCTAAGATATGTTGAAAGGGGCACAGCTGAGTGCCCCAGATTCCCAGATGACTTGTTATTTGACAACCTTGGGAGTACGGTTCTCTGTAGTGAATTTTTATTTTACCATGTATGATTTTTTTTTTTTAATAGACTACTTTTGTTTATTGGAAACTGTGAGTTTCTTTCTGTAAGGTTTACAGAAATCATTCTACCCACTAGAATGGTAAGAAACCCATCGGGATTCTTCTAAGCTAACACAGTTTTTACTTCAGTGTTAAAGCACCTTCTTTGGTTGAGAAAGGGAATCTTGGAAAAGACCAAAGCTCTCTGGTATCTGCTTTTTTAAAAAAAAAAAAAAAATTCCTATCCAGTAGCTATCTGCAGATGCCTGAGTTTGCACAGGCCTGTTATACTAACATCCAGCATGGTAACTTGAGGGAGTCAGAGAATTAAATGCCTCACTATGTACAAAATGTGTATTTATAATTCTCCATAATGAATTCAGTTCTACTGTTTAGTGAAAAATCTACTCATGTTTATTCCAGGTTGGTTTGTGTAATTAGATATCATTCTCTTTTTAGAATAGTTGCGCAACAGCATATTTGAGAAAATTCCTTCTTTCAATCAAATGAAGGTGCGCATCTTAAGGGGAAGTATCGTATGTTACACTTGAAATGTACAAATGTGCCCTGTATAGCTTAAAATGATCCTTATATGTCTCCATTAAGTATATTTTGTCTTTACGTTATTACTAACTGAATAAGAACTGGATTATTTTCAAGACGACATTAGTAAAAGTATTGTTATATCAAGCACTTTAACATACATACCACAAACTGACATGGGTTTTTCAGGTTTTGAAGTACATTGAAATACAGCTTTTCATGCTATGTCCTTTACAAATAAAACTGTGAGAGTAACGGTTGGTGTCGCTTTCTGCTTGCAGAGGAACCGAGAGATTCGCGTCTCAAGCCAAGGAGCTGACCTGAACCTGGAGGGCATGTTTCGTAAAGGCAACGAGTCGAGCAAAATGATTCGGGTGATAGCGACTCCTGGTACTTGGGAACTCGCTGGAGCAAAGAGGGGGACAAGGGGTGTGAGGGTCCGCTCTCAAAACCTGCCCTTCTGCCGCCTCTGACATAGAAGTCTGACTGTGCGGAGCCTGACCAGCTCTTCCTTTTCACGGCTTAGGTGGAAAGCGTGGCTGATTGAAGGGGAGAAATGGCATCAGAGTGAAGTTTGGCTCTTACCAGGGTGGCGTTTGCTAAGACAGCCTGGGTTGCTCTCCCTTAGTATCTGGAGCACGCGGGGAGAAGGGAAGTGGGATCCTGTTGGCAGCAAAATGGGAAGAGTGGGATTAACTGCAGCCAAGGGTCTGTTTCCTCTCTTGACATGGGTTGCTCTGACACGTGAACTCGGGGTTAAAAAGCTGGAAGGAAGCTCGTGTCAGTTAGCATGTCCCATAAGAGGAGAGGATGATAGAGAAGAGAGAGATGGGTGCCTGCAACAAAGAAGGTGCAAAAGAATGATGGTGACATGCCCTGCTTAGTAATTAAAGGCTTTTCTAAATCGGACTGGATTTTCAGAAGATCCGCCCGCCCTGTCCCTCTCAGCTCTGGCTCTGCTGGAATTGGCAAAAATACGACACTTGTTGAAAACTGCATGGTTGAAGTGCAGTTCCCTGCCTGGTGTGTGAGGTGGGGCGTGTCTGTTCATTCATTCTACCTCTTGGTTTTGAAAAGGCAGAGAATCTCGGGAGAGGACTGAAAGTCTCAGAGCCTGGGACCATATATGTGGGAATCCTAAAATACATCATTTGGTGATACCAGTGTTTATCAACAGTTTAGCAGCAAAATTATAGGATCCCATAAATGTGAATAAAATCCATAGAGCTGCTTGTGGTCAGATTTCAATAGGAGGAGTGGCCATACTTGATACACCTCCTTACTAAATGTGTTAGGCTCAAGTATGTAAATTAGAGATTGTGGGATCTGACATCTTAAAGGCAGTAAGAACTTGAAGTAAAGCAGGACTAAACTTGTCCAGATGAGGAAGTGCAAATAACTTCCTCTCCACTGCACTGTCATTGATGCAGTCTGGGAACACTACAGTGTTTCCTGCAAAGGGTAAGTAGAAGAAAACTGTCCGAGA